AAGTAGGCTGGATGTCTCATGAAGTTAGTCTGAAATGAAATCAGTCTGAATACGATGCTGTCCACCTCGTGTTGTTTGTCGGGCCCGATGCCCCTAAAGTACTGGCTCCCAATGAGATGTATTCAAATAAGGGTTCGACTTTTTATTTTAGTGTGTACATACTGCGAGGACGCTACTGATGATCAAATTGGCCATGTTTTTGCCTTTTCTATTAAAGTAAGCATATCCATCGGGATCCCTGGTATTGTTTTGCCTGTGTGCGTTAATTCGCCTTCAAGTTTTCAACGATGTTTATTTTTCTTACGAAAACGGTTAACTGCGCTTTTGGTAACAGACCCACCACTAGATCTGTGAAAATAGCACGTCCTGGAGAGGAACGGAAGGAATGCGTCCGCTCTTGCCTCTAAAGGGATCAGAACATGATCGCAGCATGCGTAGGGTAGCTGGCGGTTTCAAGAAGTCATGCATTGAGCCATCGCGTTGAGAAGTGTTGTTTGACCTTTAATGTAACACGCACTGCTTTCAACCTCCACGCACCTTTTCTTTTTATGTCCGCGTCTTTTTACGCCAGCAATGTCCCAAATTTTGAGAGATGATAGGCCTGTATTCAGTCGATCTGAAGGCTTACAATGAAGGGTGTAGGCGACCAAAAATTCTGGTCTCTTTGTTGTGAACCTTTCAAGAAGGAAGGGGACGGACCTGTCCTTTCGAGGGCGCTTGCTGATTATTTTATGAATGGAGCCCCAGACAGGGTATGGCGTAATTACTGAGGGTGTTGAATTGTCACATAAGAACAATGGCTCAGATATAAAGTAAATATATGTTGCCATGTTGCCAGAAATAATAGCAGTTCAATCTCACGTATTTGGTGGTTCGGCTGCCTTCATGTGCCGCTCCTGTTGTACAACAGCGCTTACGTCCGATGCCACAACTGGTCTGCAGTGCTGAGATGGTGCCATCCTAGCCGTCGGTGCGTTGATGATTATCCAAGTGTTTTCTTACTCAATTTCTATGTTAGGTATTTTTGGATTAGGTATACGCCCTTGATGTTGACTATCAGCGCGGCGAAAATTCACGCTGTCCAGAAAGTTGGTATTGGTCTGTTGTCCCGGCAGGTTGTCCCATAGAATGTTTGAAAGTTACCGGATAAAAATAAATACCGGATCCTTCTCTTTCTTATCCCTTCTCTGGATGTCATCCCCACCCTTACTGTGGAGGTTGCGAAATGTAGTCCTTTCTTTTGTCTATGGCTCTAGGATTTGCTTCTGGCATACATTGCATGTTTTCTTCCACGCTGTACCTGCCGAGAAACGTGCGCTGACTTTGTTTTCGTTTCCTAATAAGCATGGTCTCTCCGGAAAGGACGACGTCATGGCAGCTTATTGAATGCTGCATGGTCGTTGCGAAGTTTGAAGGACTTATTTCACACGACTCGGTAAGGTACGTATGCGTGTTTGGCCTATGTCACTACATCATTTTGAATTGTCGCTCGTGATGTGTCGTGTTCAGATTTTATTTTGTATTGCGATTGTGGCACAAAAAACCGATAGCAGCACCAAGAAATGTGCTGGCTTTTCCTGTTATTCGTGCCACGCTAACACTCGTTGTAGCATGATTTCAGAATAAAACCACCAAATGGCGTTAAGGAGCAAGAAAGCTCACCTGTCGCAGAGGTAGTGACCTGAAGTTTTTGTTTTGGGATGCGTTGCAGTTGGTGTAATGACTGCTATTTCTGTCAGAAATTGCCCCTTCTGTGCTGCCTTCTCGGCGTGGGACACTGTCTTCGTGGTTGGGCTCGTGGCATGTCACACCACAGCAGTGTGTGATCTTATTTCTGGGTCTTGCTTCACGGAATGTGACAGATGCATTATAGCCACTGAAATAGGTGACGTGCCGCCTAGTGGGTACAAAACAGTGCTTCGTTAGATAGATGGACACACTGATATGCGTTCAGCGTTGTTGAAACGTCGTTTCTGATCATGAACAAGTAAGCTATTTACGTTGACATTGGCCATATCTTACGTGGTGGAAGGTGAGGGGCAAGGTTAAAATCCACCTGTGGTATGGTGGTACCGCAGACCGTGTTGTTGTTTACAAAAATATTCTGGAATGTTTCCCAGATTAAAAAACCTAAATGATATTTGAAGTGACCCGTTTTTCTTATCTGAGTCTTCATTTTCAGCCCCATGGACTGAAAACCCCGGCTGTGAAGGACCCCATTGTGCAGCTGCGTCGGAAGTAGGTGATGTCTCATCTTACAGATGGTGAAAATATACGATGAAAGTATCATCTACCCGCAACGTGGCAACGGAATTCGGTTCTTCACCGCCGGCTGCGGAGATAACACAATGCGGACATTAATTTCCCAGCTAGATAATGATGGTTGATAGTTCTCGGGCTCCTCTATACGATTTGGGCTAAAACCATGGGGCATGCCCAAATCTCCTGGCTGAAAACACAAAACATTTATAGCACATATCAGTGAACATCACCATCTTTTCCAGCAGTAGGTATTCACCAGGTTTGTTTTAGAGGATTGGATGTGTCATCTAGAGGTCCGAGTTTTAATCTCCTAATGAAATATGCACTTTGTCAGGGCCCAATTCCGTGGTCGCGCAGTGCGCAACCGGAACGCGCAATTCAGGACCGGGGTACCGAATTAAATAATTATCTTCCAGGCGAATTAGAACCTGTTAATGAATACCATCATCTGTGCCATCGGAAGTCCCAATAATATTGTATCTTCATCAACCCAGGAGTGTGTTGACTATAGAGCCTTGGGCATGCCATTGGAAGGGCCCGTTTCGATTGCTTTGGTGTGAGGCCCGCATTTTTGCGCCTGCAGGGTAAACAGTTAGTTACCTGCAACGTGGCTGCGCACACAGAACCGGGCCGCGGAGAGAGAAAAAATCATTTTTCCCGCTGAAGTTTAATCACTCATAGAATGTATAGTTCTTATGTTGCAGATGAATAAGCGCCCCCGTCCCCAACTAATCGACCGTTCTTGTTATTTAAGGAATTTGACCTGAAAAAAATCGTTTTGATTTTCGTATCTGTGGCGTTGTGACATTCCCCTCATCCATTTGGCACGTTTCTTTTACTGCTAGCTTTCTGTACGCATACTGATTCTTTCATTGTGGCGACGTTTTTGTTCTTGAGCGATACGGACAAATACGTGGGGCAAAATGTGACTGCTTTTTTCGCCTCGGATTTCCTCACGTGAAAGCTGCTTTTTGAGCTAAGAATTTACGTCTTCCGCCTGAAGTGAGCTGTGTAATAGCGGCTGGCTGTGACTGGTTTTTGCTTCGTTGCCTTCTGAGGTAATCATTGCATTGTACTTTGTGTCGTGCACTCTTGTAATTTGAACTCCGGGTTCTCATGTGCTGTAAAAGACTGTCGCGTTCAGTTGCGTTTGTTATGTGTGGAACCGGCAGCTATGGATGAAACTGGAAAAAAATACATCGGGGATGTTGGCAATGAGTTACATGCATGGTATGCCCTGTATTTCATGCATGTTGGATGTCGGTGTCCCGGCTCTTGCACATCTTTGAAGGTTAACAGTTCCGATATGACGCATCGGTTTGGATTTCTCCCCGGGTGTAATGTCCACGCGCCTTGTTCCCAAAATGTTCGTATCTTAATGCTCCAAAGATGTATTCGAGGCAGCAGATGTGCGAATGCATCCGTTTGTGTTTCGTGTTACTGATCACCCGGCACCGTCCTTACCTTGGCGATTTTAGATGTTGGCCTGCATGAAGACATCGATCTTTTCTATTGCACTCCGTCTTCATTTTGGAATGACTTCAGCTAAGACTGCATGTATTAGGAGCATGGCCGAAGCAAAGCTATCTGTTACCCTCTATCGTCTGCGCGTGTCCAGCGAAGACATCCTGCGCCCATCCCGTTTCCGAGGCTGTTATCAGATGGAGTAGGAAAATCGTCGACTGGTTATCCACGTTTCTTTGTAAATCCCGGCACCTGGCGCAAGTCAACCTGGGCCCCATCACTCCATCCTCATGTTGTTAGTCGTCACTTAGCTGTGTTAAGTTCGGTTGATTCGTTCCACGTCAGTTGCTGGGAAACATTAAAAAGTTTAAATTGTTCATACTTCCTGGTCTAGAAAATAAATTTCGGCCCTGTGGAAAATTGATGCACACGCTAATGGTGTTTTCAGTTAGTGTCCATTATGATAAGTGTGCATCTAACTTGTGCACATTGCGAACTTTAACTTTTTTCTAACAAAGTATATACGTCCAGGGATTGAGCCTGCAGTATTTTGTCAGTGTGCTCCGAATTCTTGTACGGGGATAATTGATATTCGTTCAATACAACCGATGCGTGGGGGCTACGGACATGCGTAATAAATATTCTGCTTATCTTGTGCTTCAGAAAGCCGATAGTTTGTGAGCAAATCTGCGTGAACATGATACTGGTTGCCGCCGATCACTTGAGCCGAATTTGATTGTGCAGGATACCGGAGGGCATTGGATAACCTTCGCCATTGTTTGTGCCTGTCAGTTTATTGTTTTGTGTGCCGAAGCATGCTGTATTGCATTACTCGCGCTTGGTGGCCGTTACATGGCAGCTGCTCGTCATTAAAACCATCAAAGGCCATTGATGTGTAATCACAGCTGTTGATGTCTAAATAAAGCTGTAGGTAGCAATGCGAATAAGTATTTAGATGTTCAGCTCCATTTGTAATTCAATATACTATGATACGTTTATCACTTTATTAGTAACCGCTTTTGTACTCGACGCACGAGGATGTCCTGACACTAATCCGCGGGAAGCAAGGACTTGAATGGTGATTGGGTTTGGTAAAGAAAGATTGAGGGTGATGAAGAAAGATTAGAATGGGGATTGTGTGAGGCTAATAAGCCGTGCTTCCATAAGCCAGGCAATATGTTTTGAACGAATGAAGGTTAACGTGCACTTGTTTTTCGACAGGGGACCACCTGATGTGCCGTGTATGTGGCAAGTTCTACACCAAGTTGGACACCATGCGGCGTCACATGAAGATTCATTCGGGCGAAACTACGTGCCCTCTGTGTGGCATCGTGTACGGCATGGTGACCAACCTGCGGCGCCACATCAGGAAGGTGCACGGCGCCAGGCGCGGCGACCACAGCTAGCAGCGAGGAATGCGGTGGGGCGTGCACTGCTCGCTGCGAACTAGTGCGACCTCCCGGGTGTACGCACGGAAGGCTCAGCCAAGAGAGCGTATGTCCACCCAGAACGAAGGCAGTGTAATTTGCGGGTGACAACACGCTGGGAAGGGATTTGACCTTCCCCAGTGGCCGTCCTCGAGTGTGTCAAGCGTCCGTCGGGCAAAGTGCATATTTTTGGAAGTGCGGTGATGCTTGGCATGCACGGGTAAGCGATGTAGTGGCCATGGTGTGCCATATTCTTATTGTCTTTCTGTCGTGATCTGGTAAGAGAGCAAAGTGTTATTTATGTTTGCGTGGCGGTAATTGTTTGGTGGTTAGGAAGTATTTGGTTAGTAGTCGTAGTTTTCAGCACGCGTCGATGGGTATTGAACTTCGTTCACGGGACGCAAAATTGGTGCGCGTAAATCAGCTCGCGGTCATGATACTGCCCACTGTCAACTATCGTGGCTGTCATCGCCACCGACTGAAGATGACACCAACTTGATGGTACTTCCATCTTGCTGCTCACTCTCATGTCACATCTCCTTACAATGCGCTTGGGATGCAAGTGACTGCTGTAATGTCGACGTGGTGTCTTCATCACGGCCTGGAACCTCGTTCAACTGGGAAGCACAAGGTGGGTGAGCGCCGGGATGACGAGAGTCTCGCATCAGTGCGCCTCCTTTAAGGCCTCGGCTCGGCATTTTCGCTGATGCATGTTCTGCGTTTCTTCAGTAATTAGTACTTACGCTGTCCTTTCCGCCAGCCCTGACGTTGGTGGACCACATGTCGACCGTGCACCCGAATGTCGTCTTTTATTTGACGGGAAGCAAAGGCACGTTGGAGGAATCCACGTCCGCCTTGCCTCGTCGGCTGGTAGTGGGTCAAACCAGCATCTCTGTAGGAGCAGAGTCTGCTTGCTGGTTTGCTTAGTCGAGTCCATTCCTCCCACTGTGGTCCAGGAGATAGCACGCTTAGGCAGAACCTCCGGTGAAACCCGGTCTGTTGCTAGTCACCGGCCGGGAAGCCACTTCCTGATTGGGTACGGGTCTGCATGATCCAACCGTCTTGCGCTCAGCCGACTCGGTTCCAGGCTGTGCGAGCAATGCTGATCGGTCGCGAATTCGTACGATGGTTGGAATGCTTCTGCCCAATTTTCGGTCGGCTCGTCATTCAAGATCATGATGACGATAGTTAACCATGTTTTTGACAAACTGCACCTCTGGTTCGTAAAGTGCCAGATTGTCAGCACCCTTCCTGCATTCTGCGATAGGGTGCGGATCTGGCATGGAAGGGCTGCTTCGTGCTTTATGGCTGCTTTCTTTCTTTTAGGGCTGCTTTCGTGCTTCGTGCTAAGCTGTGCTGTATTTCTCTTGATCAAAATTGTATTTCAGCAAAGCATAGAGCCTTAGCATCTGGCTGTGTGGGAAGCGGAAATGTCCCAGGGATTCGGTTTCCGGTCTTCGCCATATTGTGTGTGTGCTGTGTTAACACGCTTGGTAATGCATGACGTGAACATGCTGTGTTTCTGGCACCTGACAGTATGAATGTGCAATTGGCCTTGGGTTGCCAACCAGCCATTGGTCAGGTTGTTATAATGTCCGTGCTCCAGTTGTCACCAGTGTGTTACGGAAATATATCAGCGCCTGGACGTATCCCTGTTGAGAAGTGGTGCAGACATTCGCTTTTCTTTTGCGTTGTTTTTGCGCCTTAAGCGTCGTTTCTCAATTGCTTTCAATATATACTGGCAGGGGCAAAACTCCATTAGTATAATTTGCGCAAAGCTGGAATACGGCTCTTGGAACGCGTGTAACGTTGCATTGCTAACCTCCTTCCTGATTCACGTTCGAAGGAAGCTCACAAATGTATTTACCATTGTCACTGACGTCAGCAATATTCAACGGTTCGAGCTATGGTGGCCCAGTTTTTTTTTTTTTAGCTCGGCTAGAAACACAGTGACGACTCTAGGTCTACCCTGCATCCTCTTGGTGTTACTTTATGTCCGTTTAACATGGATACGACTTTGCCGTTCTGTAGCCAAAATTGATTGCAGACTTTTTGGCACAATCGACGATGGAAAATAGCAAGAAGGGTTGTCAGAGCCTGCGTGGGAGGCCACAGACGAATCAAGTCTCACTTCAATTACAAGACAATGCCCAGCTTAACACGCTGGGGCGACCCGCTCTATCCCAACCCGATGCTACGTCGGTGTGTTGCAGAACGTGCTTCTGTTCTATTTCCGCCTTATATGCATCATGTCTTGCTCGCCGCCTAAGCAGCAAGGATTTGTGGGAGTTTTGCAACTTTGTTTACAAGACATTGTGCACCAACTACGCGGTAACAAGCGTCCGTTGGGGGCGTGCACCTGAGGTTATTTTGCGCATCAGACTCCGTATGGGCCCTTCCACACAATCGGTATCACTGCCTACGCTTCCTAACTTCCTTTAAACCAATAGTTCCCACGTTGCTGAGGAACAGTTCTGTGTTGTTTCCGTATTTGAAAATGCTTACTGGTCCCTAGCATATTGATAATATCATGTGAAGTTATTTAGTCAACGGGCCTGGTCTTGGAGACCGGCCCTATGACTCAGCAGTTTATGCATGGCATCCCGAATAGATGCTTGCGTTACGAAAATATCGTTACGTGGAAGCAGCTAGAACGTCTGTCGCAATTTGACGAACCGAGGTAAGCCACCTGCGATATGAATGTATACTTCTGCATCGCACTCTTGGTTCGATTCAGTTGCTCTCTTTGGACTTACTAGTCACCTGAACTGGCATGTATGCTGCGATTCCTATTCATGTCCGCCGATGCCCGTGCGGCGTGATGAGCGCCCGTATGGCCCTGAGCCCGTGGGTGGGCTCCACGGCGCCAGGCCTGTCGTCCCGGCTCCGGCTCGGGCCCTGAGCGCGTGTTCTGTGCCGCAGCTGCCGGCGACGCGGCGCGCCACGTGTGCGAGACGTGCGGCTCCGTATACCGACACCCCACCTCGCTGAAGCTGCACAGGAAGGCGCACGAGGGCCGCACCACGTGCCCCGTGTGCGGCCGCACCCTCTCCGTGGTGGCGTCGCTGCGTGCGCACATGCAGAGCGTGCACGGCATGTCGGAGGAACACGTGCGCCGCCTGGTACCGGGCGCCGCCCGGCATCGCTACAGTGCCCCGGCTCGGCCGTCGGCCGCGCGCATCGCTGACCGCTCCAGCGACGCCCACGGGCTGGCGCTCCCAGCCAACTCCGCGCGGAACCTCCCACCGCACCGCGGCATGGACCGCTGAGACGTGTATCACGGAATACCACCCCACGGCTTGTAGCACTACGGTTGGGCAACGGGGGCCATCTCGAGTGAATCGTCAATTGCACTTTCCTTTGCAATTGCACGATATAAGTGCGAAGTTGGCGGAACAAATCACATCTCGATGAACAGTTTTCTATTACTTTTACGGATTAGATAGGTCACTTGTAGCGCGATTTAAGCCAGATTCGTACCCTGGTCTGTCGGAAAATTGCCGGCACCATGCATTTCGTTTTTTAAGGTGGCAAATAGCCTGCCTTTTTACAACTGACAGCAAGCACCCGCATGTGGCGATTTGGGCTACACGCCATCGAAGCCATCTGATCTGCCAGTGCGTGATGTATCGACCGATAGCACAGCGACTCCATGTCACGTCGCGCCATTCCGGCTCAGTGCTGCGATCTTCAGTTTGCTAGTGGGTCTCTGTCTGCTCGAGATGTGACTGTTGTGCCGTACTCCTCTGTTGGTCTGCGGTCGTCATCCGACCTCTGGATGGGTGTGACTTCTCGAAGTGGTTTTGGTGCACCCTGCCTCTGAGCAGCTTGATCTTGGTGTCATGTTGGCCGCCCGAAGTCCGACGGTGACAGCGGCGAGTTGGACTGATGCGTTGTAGTGAGCGCTGTTCATCTGACGTGCGGACACAGTGGACACATGTCCACTGATCCGGCAGGGAGCCATCCCACAACAACAAAGCTGTTCGGGCTAAGCTCAGATGGTCTACGCAGTATTACCTCATTGAAACTTGACTCAAACGCTGCCCCGCAGCTGGAGTACGGAGAGCGGCTGTCACGGGCATATGTAGTCACGCTTGCGAAGTCTCAGCCGCTCATTAGTTGTACCAATAGTGGCTCGATGGGGTTGGCAATATTGGCTAATAGTGGCCAATAGTGGCAATAACAGTGGCTCAATGCACACGGCGGCAGTAAATTTTAGCATTCACACCGTGAAGGTCTGCTTCGTATGTGACCAATATTATGGATCCGTGAAGCTTTTGAAATCATCCATTCAGCCGTGACAGATCTGCTATTGGTCTTAGGGAACTACGCTCGCATCGCGGCACTAATGCGTACTGTTTCTGATGAGCTACCCCTGGTCTAGTATAGACCTTCTTTGGCATGAAATAAAACAGCTTCAGAGTCCTTGCCAGTTCGTTTCAGCCTGTTCATGGAGGCGTGACTGATGCGCTTTATTTGCATGTTCTGACAACGAAACACCACGCATTACCCGGCCCTGGTGTTGTGAATGCCGATCAGATCAGATCCCTCCGTGAACCTCGGAAGTTGCGGACACCGCTGATGCTGGTCACTGATGGTTCAAGGTATGGAGGTTACGGGGTGGGCATGAAGTATGTATGCGTAGGAACCGAGCACGCGGAGATAAAGTGTAGAACTGCCGGAGGTAAAGCCTGGCACGATGAGTAACAATCACTGCCGTGCATCTGGGGTCGCAACTTGAGCAGCTTGACTTTTCTCGCGTGTTGTGATGATCACATGGTCTCATATCCAACATTTTGCTTGGCCACAGTATGGGAGGCAGCAGCCATCCGCGGAAGGCTCCCGCGGGTGGCGCTGCCGATGGACGCTGCGCGGATGGCTGGCTTAGGCCCGGACCCCTCTCTTTTAGCGGGTGGCCGCGGCTGGCCGTGTCCGCACTGCCACAGGGTGTACAAGTTCCGCTCGTCGCTCACCAATCACCGACGCAGCCACGAGGGCCTGACGCGCTGCCCGCGCTGCGGCGCCGTCTCCAGCAATGTCCACAACCTGCGGATGCACCTGCGCGTCGTGCACGACGTCGGAGCGGAGGAGGCGGTCCGACTGACGATCATACCCCGGCCGGCTGACGGCAGCTCGATCAATCTGATGGTGGCGAAGCGGTGGCCAACGCCGTAACTCTGCTGGGGCACGAGAGGCGTCTGTCGGACAGACGCATTGCGGAAGACGTGACGAGTCGTTTCCAGTATTGTGGCGCCTAGCATCAGTGGTGCATGTGGCCGGGTGGCCGGGTGCTTCGGGCGGAAGATAAGAGCAACGTTGGAACACGTGAATAACATCTGGGTATTGACCCACATTTACTGGGACTTGAATATATGTAACGTTACACCACATCAGCCGAAAGTTCAGTTGTTTTAGACTATAAGAAAGCGCCGCAGAGCATGGCGTCGGCTGCGCAAAAGGCTTGAGTGGTCACTCGTCCAGTGGAAAATTAGGTCCTCCTTGGACAGCGAGTGGATTACAGTAATCGTCTTTAGTGCGACTTGTGAAAGGATTCAGGCGGTCTCCTCGGGCAGGGCCTCGTACGGGTATCTGCAGAAGAAGACTGCGGGGAATCAACCACAATGTACAAGTTCGTGACTTAATGGATGCGGCTCTCCTGTATCGCACCATGTCCCAGCAGATTTGTCTTGATCTGGCCAGGCTGGCATCTGTGTCGGGAATTCTGGTAGCGCCGATCAACAAGATACCGCCATAGCACTAAATCATTCTGAGTGCTCATTGTATATGTGTACCTCGTATAGTGTACTCGATGCTGGATGTACCAGTGCACGAGTGCTCGCCTAATAAACCACTTCAACTATCCATATGCATTTTCGAATACTTAAGTGGGCTAGGTTATGTGTAATGTGGGCTTGGTAGGCATCCACTGCATTCTCAAGTACGAATTATATATATATATATATATATATATATATATATATATATATATAGGTATTGATCATCACACTGACGTGATGGTTTGCCTGGAGTTCGTGGCGCAATGCATGTGGAAGATTGGTCCGTCCCAAATTGATTTGGTCTTGACCTTCAATATGCAGTGCAGCACCACGTCGTGCTTTGACGTGTAATGCGGAGCACCGTAGTTCGTTTGGCATCTTGACATCTTTGTATTTCCAGTCACTAGCTGTTAGGGGTTCGTGCTTTAATGTTTCTGAGCAGCCTATAGTTAAGCTTGGTCCTGTGGAACATGAGAACGTCACCTTGATATGATTTGCGACACAGTGGACAGAGGCTGCAGCTCGTTCATGGAAATATGTCTGCTGTTCCGCACAGGTTAGGCTTCAAAAATTAGTGGTCCCTTCTCAGAGAAAACAAACGCTGAACAGATCCCAGATATTTTAGTGACGATGTTTAGTGGCGCTTTTAGTGGCGACGCATTAAGCAGATGCGATGAGAGATTTTGAAAATAGATTTTTCTCTATCAAGTGTGTAAGCTATTCACCTGGCCTTTGCAGCGTGAGTTGGCCGGCAGGTAATATCGGGAATTGTCCGGAATGTTGGAAATTTGTCTGGGACTGTTCGGCGTTGCCAACACGGAAGACTCTCCCAGATAATTTTTCGTATTGAGAAAGAATCCCGGAAAATCTTCAGAACACGGTCAAGACGGAGAATCTTTTGCTATGCATAGTTATGACCGTTGACTGTGTGCGACGCATGGCACACACATCTGGGGGATAGTTTCCGGGTCGGCCGAACTCATATGAAGAATCTCCGTGGATGACTATGGGGAGATAATCGTCCACGTCGAATAAGAGATATGATCATCCGCGAATTCGTTGAATGATTTTCCCTCGACCGAATGCGCCTGAAATGTGTTGACAGGAGAAAATGTCTCACACTCGGTCCAATTCCCCCCCCCCCCCCCCCCCCACTGGCCGGCCTCCCCTCCCCCACACTCACTGCCGTTTTATCCCAGTTTTAGTCCCATCCTAGCCCATCCTAGCCCCTCCGCGTACCGCATACAATGCACTGCATCGTTTTCACCGCGTTTCATGCGGGTGCAAGAACGAAGGGGCCTAAATCCGGAGACAAACTGGAATGTACGGGTAGGCTAGGTGAATCCATGTATGGGATTCGTCATATTGTTAGAATGACCCCCACCCTTTAAAGACTCCTTAGAGAGGCTCTGAGTGCGCGCGTGCACACCTGTTTGGAGGTCAATTCCGTGGGATATTCTTGAACATTGAGCCGCCAAACATTAACTTGTGTAAGTGCATGGTTAGAATCAGCACACAGGTGACTTCTCGAGTCATCATTAAGAAGTCAGCGTGACATAATTTTTTTGCCGAGCTGATATGCCATACCTGACAGATACAAGGCATTTCAGAGAAAATCCATATACCCGGAACGCGAAACAAAGTCTTATCAGCAAATCTGAATCTGTGTATATATGGTGATTTGCGGAAACAATGCCCCTTCCTGGAAGTCTCCCATTCCGTAGCCTGACACCTGACGCCTGCGAAACGATGGGCGGAATGGTTTCGCTATGAACAAATAAACTTCGTATTGCTATAAATGTCATTATGGACACGTGAAAAATTGTGCCCTTTAGATTGGCATGTGTAGTTGCCGATGAGGAGCATGCCATAAGGCATAGGTGTCAGCCATATCCATCAATTCAATCGTACTAGGGCATGCGTCTGTAGCAGCCGCGGCTGCAGAGTCGTGCCGGTCACATCAGCGTTGGCGTGTAATGTTCCACCTCATTGAGACCCTGGCTTCTCCTGTTGCAGCGAACAGGAACGTGTGTGACGTGTGCGGCAGTTCGTACAAGCACCGCGAGTCGCTGTACCACCACAAGAAGAAGCACCTGGGCCTCACCAAGTGCCCCGTGTGCGGGAAGGTGTGCAGCATCGTGGCCGACCTGCGCCGCCACATGGAGGTGGCGCACCAGCTTTCCTCCGAGGACGTCCGCAAGATCATCCCCACCAAGCCTAAAGACCGCCTGTCCTGGAGCCAGTTCATGACGGGCCGGTGAAGATTGCGCTCCGGCTGGCTCGGCCTCAGCCGGCACCGGCGGCGCGCTCCCCAGAGCCTGGCCGACCGCCGACGCCGACGGGCGCGGTGCCCCTCGCTCGTAGTGACCGGCCCGCTCTGAGCCAGGTCGTGACGGCCGGTGCCTGAAGAACGCTCGTGGATCGCTCGGATTGCAGAACGAGACGTCCGGGGTTTGTGACTGGACATCTTAAACGAGGGCACCACCGAGCGTATGCGATTGTATACGTGTGGGTGTGCGGGGTGGCTATTTGCGGCCAGTGAACTGAGGTGGGATCTTCGTAGTGATGCCTTTTGATGGCTGCGCCGTTGCGTGGCTTTTTGTAGTCGGATATCACATTTCCTGCTGTGGATTTGGTATTTTGTTACGGGTGATATGTCCACCCATAGTGTATTTCGCCTGAAAGATGGATGTGGATGGCCCCGGGGCGCATTCTGTTGGGATTTTTTTGCCATTGCTTCACATTAGATTTCGGCTGGATCTTATGCCTGCTTTACTCTGGATGCCACCATCGCCGATTCAGTCTAATGTAGCAGGCATCGTCATGGTTTTGCCAGTTTTCTCTCGGTGAATGGCGACATGGTTGGGATGAGCTGTTCATTTTTTTTTTTTTAATGGCAAAAGGTGTTCGTGGCATATAAATTTAATATTTGTCCGCGTTGGATGCGCAGTAAAGGGTTTCGTTTCAATGTTGCTGGCTATTTTTCACTGATATTATCAAAATCATGCGATATCCAAGTCGTAATTTAGGCGGTTCTCATAACGCATTGTGTCTAGGCGATAAGAAGCTTGAACCACGTACGCGTGCTTCCGCCGTGCCTCTTGGCGTTAACCTTGGGCGACTACGGTGTATTTTCAGCCAACTTTGTGACTATTGAAATATGCCGTGGTACTACGATAATTGCGATATCATATTACGATAGTTTGCATGTATGAGTGAAATCGATTTTGAAACATTGCCTCATTTTGTTGCCACCGTGAACGCCTCGTACCTGGCATGACATCAATAAGCTACGCTAAGTATCAATTTATGCCAGTAGTTTGGGCCCGATACTGATTTTTTGTGCTTATTTTTCTAGATACCTCAGTATGATAGGTTCATCTCGATACTTAAGCCCGTTCGGGCGTTGCACTGATTCGCGCTGATTGTGTTCGTTCCACCGAGTCGTCACGTGCCTTTTTTGACTATGGAACCTTTGTCACCCACTGTTTGCGCGCTGTATAACACCCGCTGTATGCTCGCTGTCATGGTTTAATAACGCCAACATTGATGTCAGCATTTTGTCCAATCATCGGTAAGTAAAATGCGTTACATGGCATGGCCTTCCCTCCTAAACTAAAGACGCGTGGATTTTCACCGATATTTTGATACAAGTGAAGGGATGTCAAGATGCTGAAGCCGGCTAAGGGCAACACCACTGGTGCTTTGTTCTGTACTTTTATAGCGTGTCGCGCACAACACCGAACTGTATATTTTTCGCCTCAATTGCGCCTTACACAAGATGCAGTGTTATCCTGGCATCAACGAAATGTACCGCAACTACGGATCGTGTCGTCTATCCTGGAATGGGAATGACCCCGGCTAATAATGTGACGGAAGGGGATTCCTTATTTCAGTGCAGGCTCGTCCGGCTGGTGTTGTGCCCGTCGACGCGCCACATTCGTCACCCGCGATGGAAACCAGTTTTGAGATTGTCTGTTCCGTACCCGGATATCGGGGCCCGAAAGCCCACATCATCTTCATCATCTCGGAGTTTTTAATGTAGATACGTCTGCGCTGCTATGTGCGCCAAACGTCACTCGTGGCTAGTGCCTCCTGTATTGCCTGTGCGGTGTTTTATTTCTGTAGTGTTCGGTTGGTCTGGGTCTGTGTGCTGCACCGGATGTATGATAAACCATGCATACATTGTGGTTGTAATTACTCCGGATGTTGGCAATGGTGGAAGCTGCCCGTGAGCGCTTCTGACGAAGAATCAACCCATAACATTTCGATTTTCACGACGTATCTGGTAGGCAATATTCTGCTTCCTTTTAAAGGTTAGGTTTCCGTTGCCCATACTCACGTCATTCCCAATCGTAATATACAACATAAATTATAAACGTTGATTAGTTTTTCCGGTTATCAGCACTTCATAACACATTTTGCATGCTGTATACCAGCAGCGACTTCAACGTTGCGCAATATTTTACATTTGGAACCACGCCTAGCCACCAGCTTTGGTCTGACGAGAATGGAGTGCGCCAAATGTTTGTCCTGATGCACCCTGCCAAGATGTATCGTTCCCAGCTATTTTCCCTGCTCCCCATCCTTGCAAGCCTGGTTAACCCCCATGGCACCTCAGCGACCGCAGATTTAGAGACGTATTTTCTCAATATAATCGCCTGTGTTGTTTACTCAACTTTTTAACCCAGTTCAGTTTCCCTTCTCGAGTCCAGCTTAGCACCTTAGCGCTATTCTAAGCCCTCGGTCGATATAGACAAGCCGCTGCCCTAACCTTTGACATGGGAAGGCTGCTGGATGTTTGACGCTGGGGAGCAATGGCGGACATCGACGCGCGGGGAGGATGGGGAGAGACCCTGAGCCTTTACACCCGTGTCAGCGCAGACGAATACCTACCCGAGCGGCGTCCCCGATCTCCGTGCGGCTGGTGTCGTGACCTGGGTGGTTGTAGTGCCATGCGTAGCGGCGACGTCGTCATTGTGCGTGACGCGGTGACTGTGACGTCATCATGCGTGACGTGGTGACTGTGACGTCATCATGCGTGACGTGGTGACCGTGACGTCATCGTGCGTGACGTGGCGACGGGCAGGACCTTGGCTGACACTGGACGTTGCCCGGCAGCGGCGGCGGCGGCGGCCACGTGCGACGTGTGCGGCCGCGTGTTCCAGAACCCGGGCTCGCTGCGCAATCACCGGCAGCTGCACGCCGGGCGCACGGCCTGCTCGCTCTGCGACGGCGTGTTCAGCGCCGTGTCGGCGCTGCGCCGCCACCTGCGCGACGTCCACGGCCGCTCCGAGAGCGAGGTGTACCGGCTGGTGCCGAACGAGCGCTGCGGCCCGCGCCCGATGGGCCTGTCGCCGCTGCTGCCGCAGGCTCCGGGGGCAGGCCGAGCGCCGGACGGGACGCGCTCCGACCAGAGCTGGACGCCTATCCACGGCGGCGCTCCCCTGCGCCGCTAAAGGCAAGAGTGCCACCGGCGTCGGCCGAGAGCCGGTGGTGGTAGTGGTGCTTCAAGTCCGAGTGGTGTTCCGAAGACCAGTTCTGGAGATCGCGCTGTGGGTGAGAACGGGAGTGTGCGCGGCTGGAAACGCCGCACTCGGAGCAAGTCAGGACGGCGGTTCTGGAGGTGGCGCTGTGGCCGTGGGTTCCATGTCGCCGAAAGTCACCTGCAGAAGCCAAAGCCAAAGTGATCTGCTGACTTCAGACCGCACCATATTGCTGCGACCGCTCCAGATTGCCTTGGCGCGTCTATGCAGCGGCATTTTGTGGATACGCACAGGCACGAGTAATGCGTAACGCGCCGCGGCAGATCCCACTCAGCAACACCGGATCGTGCCACAAGAGGCGCGGTGGAACCCCGTGTTGTGCCACATCGTGCCACGACAGATCCAGGACTGCCACATCGTGCCACGACAGATCCAGGACTGCCACATCGTGCCACGACAGATCCAGGACTGCCACATCGTGCCACGACAGATCCAGGACTGCCACATCGTGCCACGACAGATCCAGGACTGCCACATCGCGCCACGACGGATCCAGAACTGCCACATCGTGCCACGACAGATCCAGGACTGCCACATCGTGTCACGACAGATCCAGGACTGTCACATCGCGCCTCAGTAAATCCGTGGCAGCCCCATCGTGACCAGACAGATCAGGGACCGCCACGCCAGAGCCAGGGCTGCCATGTATAGTGTAACGACAAATCCGGGGCTGGCACGTCGTGACCAGACAGATCAAGGACCGCCACGCCAGAGTCGGGGCTGCCGTGTATAGTGGAACGACAAATCCGGGGCTGGCACATCGTGACCAGACAGATCAAGGACCGCCACGCCAGAGTCGGGGCCGCCGTGTATAGTGGAACGACAAATCCGGGGCTGGCACGTCGTGGACTCGAGAGCCAGGGATTAGTGTGCGGGTAGATCCAGAGCTGCGAGACGCCTGTAGCAGTATTCCTAACAATCGTGCGTTCCGCGTGACATGAATTGATGGCACCCGTATTATTGACGGCCCCTTTGCAGAGGAGTACTCACCAATGCATTGCTAGCGTGTATTGGTGATGCAACCTTGCGTGATTACCTTACTCGATGCTGAGATCTTTCTCCCTGCATATTGTGCACCAGATCCGTACTGTATTGTACTGTAACTTCTGTAACTGCCACTACATCTTACTCATGAAGCATCAACGCGATAGTGGATTTTTCCTTGGAGCGGATTTTTGGCGAAATATGTAAAAGCTGGTTGCAGTAGCCGGTTTTAGGCAGCTTTTTACGTGAAATGGTGCAAAAATAGCAAAGAAGTTGATAGATTCTGCACTGGTGTGTATTGCTATCCATTGCAACGCAGCATTTCTTCCTACAAGTAACTCGTGGGCCAAAAATTGCATGTGTGGTGAGTATGTATTCGCACATTATCGCCCAAGCTTTATTGCACCATATGAAATCGAGTACATTTTGTTCGCGCGGAGCGAATTCGCCCGCGAGATATTTACTTGAGGGAATGGATCGGTCAGAGTGACGATCCATGAAATCTGCCTCCGGCAAAATCTGCGAGTGCGCCTTCGCTCCGATGTCGCATTTGAGCCATCCTCATAAATCCTCGCCGTCAGTTCTGCCTTGCCCCAGTTCTTGTTTCTAAGATCCTTTCCTGCATCCATCCCCTTTTACCTGCCTACACATCCGTCTCCGTGACGGACTCATGGAGCCACCGAGATGCGTAGACCGTCATATCCATGAAATACATTGTAATGCGGTGTTCAAGACAGACAATTGCTGTTCTGTTCCGATCCCCGCGACCTTGTTTCGGGTCGATCCAGTGGGTAAAACAAACCGTGAGGGTTAGCCTCGGAAGCAGTATCATATAGGTCGTTTCGAACCCGTCCGGGTGGAGTTGTGGCTTGAGACCATCATCCCAAACCCATAGCATCGCTTGACCGCTGTCAGGTTTTCACCAATGATGTATCAATGCAACCGTGGAAACGCTCGCCCGCGGCAGAATGTAGCAGTCCTGGATAATGAATGATTGAAAATCCAGGTTGAGCTTCAGACGTGTATGAAATCTGTTTATGTGCATCCGGTGTCTGTTACCTCGCATTAAGGGCGTAGAAAATAAATCAGCCATGATTACACCTTCGTGATTGTTCAACCCCGCATTCCATGTCCGGATCACCGAAGCTATACGGGCACTGGATGTGGTAATGGGACCGGCCAGCAAACATATCTCGCTAGATATCTCTTCATGCTGAAACTTCAAACGCCATTGCAGAGGACAGGTTGATGGCGTCAGTGTTGCGCCGCTCCGCCACGTCTTCTTAAAAAAATATGGCTACCGCTTTATTTGCGGCGGAATTGTGTTAGGCATAACATTGTCAGGAAATACACGCGTGACGACGCTGAGCGTTATGTCACGGTGACGCCCAAGTCAAAATGCTGCCGTGATCTCGCAAATCATTTCCATCAGTTTTGCTTTTTGATGGAATCACGTTCACGAAGGCTATCTTGTTTTACCCCGCGTATTTGTGGCCGCACCTCTCTTCTCGGGCGTCAGGAAAGTCAGCGGTCTGCCATTGTTACTCCCGTTAAACACTCTTAGGTAAGTGGTTCCCACAATCGACAGATATGCGGTATGCAGAAATGTATTTTAAATATTCGCGTGGCGTAGTCATTCACCATATTATCCGGTGTCTTCTCTGGTAATGGAATTTCTGCCTTAAGTCCACCAGTGTGTCTGGTAGGGGCCTGGTGTGAACAGCCCTTACTCCACATTCGCATGCGTGTTATGGATAAACAGGGCGATTAAACTTGTATACAGCCGTGTTTTATTCAGCCGCTTTAGTTTCAATGGGTCGGGATTGCCTACCCAGGGACGGCTCCATCCGGCGACGGGGACGCGTCCCTCTATCGTCGGATAGGGGGGCAGTCCCGCTACTCTAACAACGTTTGGGTAGAAAAAATACACCAATTTTCACGAAGGAATATTTAACATATTCACATGACGATGATGATGATGGCATGATGAAACTTCTTCACGTTGATAGGATTGCACTGCTACAGTGTTGGTACGATTCTACTAGGACTTCAAAGCACTGCTCGGGGATTTTCTGCCTTTATTCGCCGGGCTTTCTCAATGCCTTCGGTGCCCAGAGTTCAAAGACGGATTAGAAGTCGACAGTATCGTCATGTGCCTGCAGCCTATGGTTTTTGAAAGTTGTATTATGGAAAATGAAAACTAATACTGAATTTCAGTGCATGTGGTATCAGAGACGGCGCCACTGGGAAAACGGAGGGGGGGGGGGGGGTGTTTCCTTATTACGGGATTGGACGGGACAGTCCCCATACCCCAGGAACCTTTTTGGAGGAGATATGATATTCTTTATAAAGATTTTCACTGGACCCCATCTGCAATTATTACCACGATAAAGCTCCCTCACATCGGTAGGGTTACGATGGTATAAGCACCAGCACAGTACTAGAACATACAAACGCTTGACGGTATGCCGGTTCATTGGCCGAACATAGTCAATGCGTCTGTTCCCATCGCTCTTCCAAAAAAGATGACATTAATTTTGAGGAGGCTGGGGAGCGCTGAATCTGCGTCAAATATGCTGCCACGTTATTTTTTTTTTTAAGTTTCCTTCACCCCGCGCAGTTTTACCAAGCAGTGCCGGCGCTCTGGCGGCGAATGATCTTAATGTTCAGTTCGCTGAAAAATACATGCTCAAACTCGTAGATATGCCTAGTGATGCTGTTTTTATGAACATAAAAATATGGAAGGCGTAGCTTGCATCCATTTGCACCCATTTTTGCAATCGTTCTTTTTTCTGTTGTGTAATCAGAGATACGAATGAACTGAGCCATTCATGTCGACCACAGCCTCCTCTAACCTTCCCCGAAAAAAACGCCTTTGATTTCGCGAGAGATTGAAGAAGGTTCGGGGCGAGCTTTTAGGAGCTTGGAGGAGGATGGAAGAGCCACAGGGGCGATCAGATCAGTTTGGAGGAGATCTGAGGAGGTTAGAGGAGTGACGGAAACAGGCCCAATGTCTTCCGTGCCTCCGTGCCTAGATTTTAAGGTCGGATAAGGAGGTGGTTTAAACAGCATCAAGTGCATGACAACCGATGGATGTTATACTAATGTATATTGCGTCATTTTTGTATTACCAGTTATCATTGATGAATAGTACACGTATTTTTAGGAAAACATTGAAATTTGTATAGAATTGCAGCATGCGTGCTATAATGCAATATCCTTGATGACTTAGGTGCGATTTCTGTTTTTGATCGCTGTATGTCAATAACCATCAAAAGTTATCATCAAGCTCACCGTCGTGTTTTTGCAGCAGCTTCGGAACGCAAACTGGCATCGACCTGCAAATTTGCATGTGTTTCCTATTAGTTGCGCGCTTTGTCACATTTTGTACCTAAGGCCTGGCATGACGGCGTCATTTGATCATATTACTATTGGCCGTTACCGCACTCGAGGAATTTTAACGAAAATTTTGGTTAATTTTGCTGTTTTAGCCGTGTTGTAATGCAGTTTGATGATATGTTTAAACAACTGTCTATTTAACCGTTTTGGTGTGATTCAGTTTTCATTTTAAATCAAAACCAGCCGGGGAACGGAATTTGTTCCCCGTCATGTTTTCAGGGCTTAATCAACTGGTATCAAAGCGGAGCGACGCCAAATTTGTACTACCTTTTACGTCTTTTTTTGTACGCGACGGCAATTTTTAATTTCCAAGCAGGTCACTGCACTGACCGAGGTCAGTATGAGTTCGGAGTCTAAAAATGATGGCCTCATACCATGTTTAGGTATGGATAAATCTCGCGATTATTGTAGAAGCATTCCGTTGTGTTATGCATGTGCATTTGCCGCTTTTGTTTAACTTTTGCACATTTTTTGGTCTTATAATTTGTAGCGAAATGGCGTTCAGAGAGAATTACGCCCATGGAACTGGTAGGAATCAACTTTGAAGTATTTCCCCGGGCTGACTCGGTCCACGTTTCCTGCATCATTGCTAATCGAACAAATGCGTAATACGTTTTTTTTTTTATTCCCAGAATTTATGAATAAGGTAATAACGGTAAAATTTGAAATCAGCATTTTAGTACATGCTGAGTTTTTAGGTGTAGTTTGATTTTCTAGGTGTGTGGTTGAGTTCTAGCAATTGTTTCTGAAATTGGACTGCTGAACCTAGCCTACAATATGCAAGGCAAACATCAAGAAAATGCAGGGTGGTTCCAAAGCGTGGGACCAAGGGAAACGTGGCCACCTCAGCCAATAGGATTGCTCTAGGTACTGGGCAATTTTTCAGGAGTTTGGTGCAAACTCGCAGGACTCTGAGGAGATCTCATATTTGGCCCCATGGGGAAATGTCCGCTTCGTGTCTGAGGAAATTGTACTAGAGAATCCCGGCCATGGCGTCGTTCCACATTCACAGTGCGCTGGGAAATCTTAAGGGGGTCACACATGTTTCCCACTCCAGCAGTCGGGCACGGGCTAAAAACATGCCACTCGTGTAGCCTAAAGAGACCCCATTTCTTCCGTGTCTTCCCTATTTTCAAGCTCGTGTCGATCTTATGCCTGGTCGTACGCAAGCTGCGCGTGTCAACCCTTCGGAGGCGT